GGCTCCATTTTTTTTTCACCAAGTGGAATGTGTATCGAGGCTCACAGCATCCTCAGCTCCTCTCTTGAGCTCCATCCACACCCCTTCCCTTCCCTGCTCAACTTAAAATGTTTTCAGAACCCAAAGATAGTTTTCAAAATCCTAAGATAATATGCAAAATCTCCTCTGGTTTTGAAATAACAAGTGATTTAAAAGATTTTTTTTGGTATCTCTATTTTCATGTCAATCAAGACACCTCTCCTCCATGTTGATATCTCTTCTTCCCTTTCAGCCTTCTAAAATTATTTCCTCCAAGTCAGCCTGATCTCAGACTCCTGCATATTATTGCACTACAGTTTTATAACAGTATTAGTGATTTTTTAAAGGCCTCTGTTCTAAGAATACCCATATACACTTGTTTTTCTTTTAACAACTTAAAATATCTCTTTGAGGGAAAGATAGTACGCAAATGTCAAGTGCTTTATGTAGTAATTTTGAAATTAAATGAGAAAAAAAGCCTCTAGCAACACTGGAAAAAAAACCCCACATGTTTAACTAGCTCAAGCAATTTCAGTTTTCTTTAATTTTTTTTCTCTTTGAGATCTTTTCTTCTCATATTAAGCTATTCTGATAGATTCTGGCAGTGAGAAGAAAAGAAAGATGTTAACTGCTATAGCCAATAGGATCTGCCCATTGTGGAAATGATTTTTGCTTTCAAGAATCAATACCAAAAATGTTCTTGTGAAAACCCTATGTTTTAGCTGTCACAAAGATGGTTTTTCTCCATTTTGCATTCTGTTCAGATTTTTTTCAATGCTGTTCTAGTTGAAAGCTTGATAGTCTAATAGAGTTGCTTGTCACATAAAATGTGAGTATACAACTAGAGAAAAACTAATTTTTGTGGAAAACCATCCTGAAAAGTATACATTATTTAAGTGAATATAGGAATACTATAAGAAATTATGTCTTTTTTTTGGACCTTTAAATAATATCCAATATGTTTTAAAGTTCAGAGTTCATTATCTATAATGTTATCACTACTTTTTTTCAGACTACATAATATTGGAATAAATTACAGTCACAAAATCTCAAGATCCAGAAGCCGATTAAAACTGAGATACAAAAGAATTTTTTCATAATTCAATTTCAGTGTAATCTTGTGAGACTTTAGTCAGAGTAATGACATTTGAGAATCCTTATTAACTTCACAAAAATTATCAGAAAAAAAATAAATGATTCATGCCAAATAGAAATTTATAGAATATTTATGTAAATTATTTTGACTACTATTGCTGTTTTTAGAATTAAGAGCATTCTTAGTCATTTTCCCAATTGTACAGACTATCTATTTCTTTCCAGCCAAAAAGCTTTGTGTATACTATTTTTTCTGCGAGAAATGTTTTTAGTTTGACTTAGTATTCAGGTATCTGCTACTTCCTCCTCAGAGATGCTTTCATTCATTCTCCAGATTAATTATTATTTATAATAGATTTGTGCTCTGCTAGACTATTAAACCTGTGAGGACCAAGACCAAGTCAACTTTTAGTGCCATATCTAACACAAAGCACATGTGCAATAAATATTTGCTAGTGAATTTAGGAAATAACCAGCATATCATCATTATAGTATCATTATTCTCACCAGCAGCAGCATTATTTGGCTTCATCTGGTCTCTATAATTTATTCATGAATAAAAGGCTGTAGCTATCAATGCCTCATTTTTACCAATTTACATTAAGAATAGAGAACTTTTTATATTTGGCATTTGAAGTAAGCCATAGGCAGTATTTTCATAGGTGCCTTTCTTATGACCATCTTAATGTTCGTGACTTTTATAAGCAAAATAAAATGTGTCCTGTTTTTAAAGACAGCCCAACATAGAATATTGAATCTTTTAGGGGATACTGTTTCTAGGTTGTCTGATCAATTCAATTTGTTTTATTATATTTTCCCATACAACAAGGCCTGCATTTATCCCTTCCCAGTGTATATCTGTCTTTCTCATTAGAATATGAAACCAGTGGGGTGCCTGGATGGCTTAGTTGGTAGTGCATGTGACTCCTGATCTCAACATCCTGAGTTCAAGCCCCACATTATGCACAGAGGTTACTTACAAGAGGAAAAAAAAAAAAAAAAAAAAAAGAAAGAAAGAAAAGAAAAAGAGTATGAGACCAGTGAAATTTTGAACCCATGTCTGTCATTTTTACCAGGACTTACTATGAGCCTTAAAAGAAAAAGCAGGTCTTCAATAACTATGGAAACACTGAGTAGCTTTTATTTCATACTAAACAGAGGGAATTGGGTCAAAAAGACCTGCTAGGAAAATTCTTCAAATATGCAAAGGATGCCATTTAGATCAGTCATCAGACAGATGTGCCTGCAAAAGGAAAGGCCAAAAATATATTGAAGTGATTATATGATAGAAGAAATGGCATTAGGTTACTCTTGAAACCCTAGCCAAAATTCGAAAGAGTTTGGGCCCTGAGGCTTAGCCCAAGTTCAATGTAAAATAGATTATTCATTTGTTCTATCATTCAACAACTCTTTACTGACCATCTGTCATTAGTCAAGTGTGATTCTAGTTGTGGGATACAACTAATCGTTACTGCTGTTAAGAATATAGCTTGATCAAATATTCAATGCACAAGTCACTAAATAGTATGAATTACAGTCACAAGCAACCCACTTACCTTCCAAAAAAGGTATGATGATGTTTTGGCTTGAATTCCTTGTTTGCCCTGCCCTGCCCTGTTCCATTGAAGATGACATGAAAACTATGTGTTGAGGGTCAAGGAGTTCCCCTTCTCTAGCTCTCTATTCCCAGAGCCACATGCAAAGTTTGGCACATGTAGGAAGCTCAGTAAATGAGACTTCACAAGAAATGAATTTGTCTAAACCAGCTCAGTTAGTCTGAATGACCTTGAAGAAATCACATCATTCTTTAGCCTCAGTTTCTCTATCTAACAAGTGGGAGGATGTTATTCCATGGTAGTTTTCTTCTTTTGAAGAATAAATAAATAGGATAATGAAAATCATTTAGTACAATTCTTGGAATATAGTAAATACACAGAAATAATTAATATTATTATTAATAATATAAATAATTTAGTAGAAATACTTTTATTACTACTTTCATAATTATTAATTAATAGTTCTTATGTCAAAGGATGATTTTGAAGATGCAGTTAAAGTGTGAAAGTGATTATTTTTTAACTCTAAATAATGATTGATTATCCTGAGGCAGGGTGACTCATGAATCACTGTTTAAGAACCTTTCCCTTAAAAGATGCTGTTGGTACTCTAAAGGATATCGTTCAATTAAATTCTTCCCATGGAATCTAAAACATCACTAGTAGTGAGTGAGGCCACTGAGCAGGCTCATTAATTCTGTCAGATGACTAAGGAACCATCTGGTGCCTGCCACCCATAATTGACATGGCAGCAAATACAATCCAGCATGATCATGGCCTCACAGTAGTTTCCAAGTTGATATATATTGTCTAATTTTAACTTGTATAGTAAAAATTAATCTCACCTTTTATCATTATGCTTTTGTAACTGAAAAAAAATGATGGACCAGTGATAGTGATGGAACCTTTTTATCATTTGTAAAGAAAGAAGTAATGTTGGCTACATGATATTTCTAAGTACTTGTAGACCCTTTAAGTAAAATTTTGTCACAATGGAGGCTGATTCAACAATTTAATAAAGTGTACAAAAATAGAAGTAACTACATTTTATATACTACTTAATGTATGCCAGGTACACTATAAATCATTTAAACCATATTATATTGTTTAACAATTTAGGTAACATTAGTTGCCACAAATTATCGTCTATATTTCATATATAAGGAAACTAATAACTGGGTCGGGGGGTACTCCTTAAGATTAAATACATGGTTAGCAAATAGTGGACAGGATATTAAAAAAAACAAAACCAAACCAGGTATCAATGGTTTTCAAATCTCAAATCTTAATTATAACCCTGCGTTAGCTCAAAATAATAACAATACTTAAATATATGTTACTAGAAGACTTTTTATAAGAAATCATTGAGATTTTTTCTTTTTTAAGAAACAATTGTTCCTAAAAATCTTGAGATATTAATGTGCATAATGGCTATATAACCAATATATATCCTCTTTAATTTGTGACTTCACTGATTTGTCAGATTTATCTGGTTTTCAGTGTATTTCAGTCTTCTATTGTCAAACTTTCTAACAAGATCAAACTCATGAAAACAACACGACAGTTCTGACAGGCATCTGTTTACTTCTCAGTTTGTTTCCTTGTTCTGATTCACTGGTCTGAAGAATTCTGGATTTAAGTAGCAAAGAGGGCAAATGTGAACAGCACACTAAACTCTCCATCTTATTGGAACTCTTAACATTACATTCTCCCAGTGGCACTTTCTAGATGTAAATTAAATTATTCCAGAATCATTGTCTTTAAGACTCATAATGGGGGAGAAAGATTGTTACTCCATGTTGACTACACCCAAGAGTAATCAGTGAGTGGTCATCAGGGCACAATACTACCTCATTCATTAGTCCAATGAAATACAGAAAAAGAAACCCACAAAGGCAACTCATGGAAAAAAGAAATCAATGTTGATTATGAAAAATTATGTATAAATAAAAAATTATGACTTTTATCAATTCAGAAGCTTCTGAAAGGTAAACTCTACCATCAGTATTTTTTTTTACATATTCCCAACACAGAGATACCCTTTGATTAAAACAGTAAAAATAACTGGATTTAATGTTAAATGATTTTCACTCAAATTTTAAGAAAAAAATGGCATCCATTGACTGGTACTCTGGAATCTTATATAAAGAATGTCAGTAAGCTGTTCTAGAATTAGAGCTTATTCATCATCACCTGCATTTTCTATAACTAAGTGGGTTCTATGTCATGGAACATGGTTCTATGTATGGAAGCTGATGCTTAGAAACAGTAAGACTCAATTTATTTTAGTGAGCTATATTTATGGAAATTAAAAGCTGGATAATTGCTTAGAAACTCTCCTTCCCTGTATAGATCAGGAAACTGAGGTTCAGGAAGGTGAGATGACTTGCTGAAGTTAATCGAGGCAAAACCTCTTCTAAATTCAGGTATTCTACTTCCTATGCGATCATTTCCCAAAGGGTGACCCATAAAAAATTACCATACCAAGCACTCTGAAAAGAATTCTAAGGAAATGTAAATAAGATATATCAATTCATGACTCCCATTTGAAATTATGCTGTACTATATATATTAATTATATATTTATTAACTATATAGATTAGTTTTTAATAGATAAAATGTTCCCATATTGTAAATAACAGAACTATACATAAAATCATAAACCATAAACATTTTCCTTTTATTCTTAACTATCTGATTAATTACTGACTTTCCCCTCCATGCCTGACCACAGGTGGTACTGCTGTTAGCTTCTTAGATATTCTCCCAGAATGCCTTTATATAAAAGGAAATATGAATAAGTCTTTCTTTAATGTTTATTTTTGAGGAAGAGACACTGTGTGAGTAGGGGAGGGTCAGAGAGAGAGAGATGGAGACACAGAATCTGAATCAGGCTCCAGGTTCTGAACTGTCAGCACAGAGCACAATGCGGGGCTTGAACTTAAGAACTGTGAGATCATGACTTGAGCGGAAGCAGGATGCTCAAATGACTGAGCCACCCAGGCATCCCATAAGTTTTTTTTTTTTATTACAACCCTTTTAAAAAATTGGTAGCACACAATTCAGATATTTCCTTTATTCATTAGACAATATGTATGACAGATTATTCTTTATCAGCATACAAAGAGCTTCCTCATTCTTTTGTATAGCTATGTTACCTTTATCTATCATGGAAGTACTGGGCAACTAAGTTCTCTCCACTCTTTTGCTAGTACACACGATGGACCACAAATGATTTTGAACATATCATCATTTGGTACACATGTATGTCTAGAATAAACATCTAGAAGTAGAATATCTGGGTTAAATGTATGTGCATTTGTGATTCTTGTTATCCAGAGAGGTTGTACTAATAATGTGTGAAAGTATCAGTCTTTCCACAGGTTCTTTCCACTAAGAACTGACACAACTTAGAATCTTCTAATCATGTCATTTTTTTAAAAAAGGTATTGGAACATAGTTCCAATATGTTTTTCTCTTATTAGAGTTCAGTTTAAGCAACTTGCCATATGCTTAAGAGTCATTTTTCTTTCCTTTTCTTTAAACTTACTAGTCAAAGGTTATACTATTTCTAATTAATTTGTTATTAATTTGTAGGAGTTCTTTCATATTAGAGATAACAGTACTTTGTATTTGATAGTAAATGAAAATATTTTCAGTTTGTTTTCCTTTTACTATTTTTTAATTTTTTAGAATTCTCTTACTTTAGTCGTTTTTCCACATAAATTTTAGAATTAGAATTAGTTCGTTTAGTAAAAAAAAAATAGACTACTGGTGTCTGGTATTTTCATTGGTACTGTATTACTTTATGAATAAACTTAAAAATAACTATATTTTTGTTTTTTTAAGTGTTTACTTATTTTTGAGAGAGAGAGGGAGAGAGAGAGTGAGCAGGAAAGGGGCAGAGAGAGAGGGAGACACAGAATTGGAAACAGGATCCAGCTCTGAACTGTCAGCACAGAGCCTGATGTGGGGCTCAAACTCATGAGCTGTGAGATCAGCTTGATCTGAATTTGGACACTTAACTGACTGAGCCACCCAGGCGCCACTGAAAACAATAACTGTATTTTTTTTAATGTGACATCCTCATCAAGAACATATCTTTCCTTCTTTTCAAGACTTCTGTCTTGGCAATGACAGTTTAAAAGTTTATTTCCTGTAAGTCCTGCACATTTCACACTGTGCACATTCCTAGAAATATCTATTATGTTGATATTTTGCATGAGACAATTTCTTTCAGTATATTGTATATGAAAATTATTAATTTATATAGACTGATTTGGCATATCTATGTCCTATAATATTCCTTTATGTTTGTATTAGATTTTTAGTTAATTTTCTAGGGTTTTCCAGGTATACAATTGTGTTACCTCCAAAATTTGATGGATTTGTCAACTACTTTTTCTTCTAAGTTTTTAAAATTGTATTGACTAGTACCTAAATAAAAATATTTAATAATATTTTAAATATAAAAATATTTAATAATAGCAATGAGAGTGGGCACTTGTGATTCTTTATTTTACAGTAATAGGTTCCCCATCAAACATGAAGGTGGCTTTGGGGCTGAGATTGATATATTTTATAGAGTGAAAGAAATACCTATAGAGTATGTATCTCTTACTGTTTTTATCCAAATTATTGTTAAATTTTCAGTTACTGTAGAAATGATATGTGATTTTTCTTATAACTATTGCTCAATTATGTTAACAATGAAACAGTCTTCATTTCTTGGGAAAAATAACACTTATTCATGACAACTACATTTTTAAGAAGCTGTCAGCTTCTATATATTAATATTACATTAAGAATTTTCACATAACCATACATAAAGTTGCTTTATAATTTTCTTTTTTGATATTCTTATGATCAGGTATTTGTATCCAGGATAGACTAAATTTTACAGGATTTAGAAATATTTCTTCTTTTTGATAGTTTAACTGTGTTTTGAGTAAGCTTTAAGTTCACACAGAAATTCAGTTTGCTACAATACTGTATCTTTTTTTGTTTTCAAATTAATAGATGTTTACTGTAACTTAATTGGCTATCAGAATGAGCTTTACAAACAAAGTTCAAACCTGTTTTGAAGACATGTAATTTATCTTTCCAAGTGATTATATGAGAATATTCACATGAACTCATCTCCTTTTACACACACTGTAAGTTAATTAATGAAGGAGATAGGAGAAAAATATGCATTCACTTCCTATTCATCACAATGGACAGCAAAAGAAGAGAGAATTCAATAAATTAATGATAACATAAAAGAAAATAGCTCTGAACTTCATCCTTGAAAACACTGAGTAGATATTTGTATTAAGTTGTTCTATCGATGTGTTAAAAATTAATTTATTATTAAAAAATCTGCATTTTTTCCTTCAAGTTTTAACCGATCAGAGCACATAATATATGTCATATATATTCCTTGCAATTTGGGAAAACAGTGAATTATTGCCTTACTTCTCATGAGAAAACCACAATTTGGCACAGGCTGGCTAGCTGCTTTCACAGGACATTTGCATTAGTCTTCCCTCTATGGTTCGGCCAAAGAAGGAGTATTTCCTGGTGACACACTTCAGAGAGAACTGGTATGGAATCTTCTTTCTTTTTTTTTTCTTTCAAACGCAGTCCCCCACTACCACAAATTATGCAGTGGAGTTTCCCACATTTGGGGAAATCGCAGGGCTCAGCAAATCTAGAGTGAAATGGATAAGCCTCACCCTGAGAAAACCACTTTCATGATCCTGGTATCTCCCTTGCCAGGTAAAAATTGGAATCTTAAGAACAGAATAAGGAGAGAGAAGCTGCAAACCATACTCCATTTCTCTGTAGGCTTCTTGAATCTGAGGAAATGTGCAGCCTCAATTTGAAGTAAGTTCGAAGATGTGAGTAATAATTTATTATGCAGAAATGTTAATTTCTGGGTTGACATTCTGTTTTACCTATAAGTGATCAAAAATTTGGAAACTGCACTAATTTAATCCAAAAAAGGGAAAGTACTAGTTTCAATTAGCAAATTTAGAGGGAAATTGAGTTTTATGATATTGTAAGGTACAATGTATTATATGATTATATCCATGGATCCCAGTTGTTTAATTTTCTGCTTACAGTGTCTGATAATTTGCATAATTTTATCTATCTATTTATTAGAAGCTAGACATTCAAAAATAAAACAGACAAAATCACTTTGTTCCATATTTATATTATTGTTTCTTTATGCCATTAACAGGAATTTATTCTTACATTAAATAAGATATAGTAGTCTGAATTGTCTATTTTCACCTAAGATTTTTTCTTTTTAAAAATTTTGTTAATGTTTATTTATTTTTGAGAGACAGAGAGAGAGAGAATGCAAGTAGGGGAAAGGCAGAGAGAGAGGGAGATAAAGAACTCAGAGCAGGCTCCAGGCTACAAGCCTTCAACACAGAGCCAGATGCAGGGCTGTGAGATCATGACTTGAGCCAAAGTCAGATGCTCAACCAACTAAGCCACCCAGGTGTCCCAGTTCACCCAAGATTTCTTCTAATTAAGACTTTTTTTTCTTACATCAAAAGCAAAACTCCCTGGAGATCCTCGTGACTCAGTCAGTTAAGCATCCAATTCTGATCTTAGCTCAGATCATGATCTCAGGGTGCATGAATTGGAGCCCCACGCTGGACTCTGTGCTGACGGCATGGAGGCTGCTTGAGATTCTCTCTCTCCCTCTCTCTCTCTCTGCCCTTCCTCTGTACATGCTCTCTCTCTTTCAAAGTAAATAACCTTAAAAACAAAACAAAACAAAAAAACCCAACAAGAGTCCTATGAAAAGGAAAAATCACTAAAGGAAAAAAAATAATAAAGCTCTTTAAAATAATCACATCTCATTTACATTTGGAAATCCTAAAGGCAGATGTCATCCTTTAAAACACTGACAGATGCCACAGAATGTGCTAATCTACACAGGCTTCTCCTTCTACAACATATATAACAAAATGTTTCAAAACACACAGTTTGTTTAATATTAATATATTAGTATATTAACATAAATATTTATAAGTTTGACTTCTGTGTTTTACAAGTAGTCCTTCTACAAGCAATTGACTCTGATACTTTTCTAGACACCAATCCCAAATTGGCCAGATACTAGAAGATACTACTGAATACTGGTCAAGACTGATTTCTTGAACATGTTGTGGCAATTTCTAATTTTGCAGCTACAAGAAATTATTGGTATCCTGTACAGATTTAACTTCCTCAAATACAATCTTTAACAAGAAAGGGATGAAAATAACTATACACTTTATAGGATATAATGCTTATAAATCAGAATATACCTTAGCTATTTCTATATAAAGCATTCTTTGGTGTTGATGAATAAAAATCTCTATTTTGTGTTATTTTATGGAGCTCCTGCTGGCCATGCAAGTATCCAAGAATGAGAAAACATATCTAAGCCACTGTGTCTTACAGCAAGGAAAATAGTGACCATTTTGCATGGGGTAGAGAATAGGATAACTCAGCTAGTATAGTCACAATGACAAAACACAGATTTTAGCAGGCAACTGATATCAATGAAAATATTATCGTTACAATGCACAGCAAAACACCTATATTGAAAATTTTGTTGATGAGGATATAGATGGTGCTGTTTCCCAACTTATTTCATTTAAAAAAATCAATAGTTTTGTGGAATCTAACACAGGATAGAGTAGGATATATGGGATTATAGATGAGAGTTTTGAATATTTCAAAACAATGAAGCAAGCAATACTCTTATACATGTTGGCAGAGGGTAACCACTTCCCCATACTTCCAAAGCACTCTCAACATTACCTATCATTGTTTCAATGGATATATTATCCGACTTAAAAAATGTACTCAGAATATATACTTTAGATGCAATCATATATATTCATGAAAAAGTAAGCTTAAGAATATCAATGCCAGTATTTTTATAAGAGCAAAAGATTAGAAAACCCTAGATGTTGTTTAATAAAGCTGAGTAAATTATGGTAATTGATAAAAGAGAATACTATCATGTAGCCATGGGAGGGAGGAGAAGAGACAGCTCACTATGCTGTGATACAGGATAAACTTTAAGATGTTTCATTAAGCCAAAATAAGACGGAGAGACTTGAATTTAATACAGCACGATTTGTATGAAAATGACAAAATGTGATTGGTATAGATATATCCCTATATAAATTTAGTATCCCATCCTTTAGTATATTTTAATAACCTATTTCTTCAAGGAATCCCAAAAAGCTGTACTCTGGTCAGAGTAACTCAGAGACTGTGAAAGTAGCTGGGAATTAAGGGAGGGACAGGATACAAGAAAATGTGTGGAACACATTCTGGAGGGAATTTCCTTTCTGGGAGAACTGAGATGTTGGTTCTGGGTAAACAGACAGAGAGGAGTCCTTAGTCAAGTATCTAGTTTTTGTTTATATCGACCTTAAAAAGACATATATTCAGACAGATTTCATTCTCTTTTCAGCAGAGATCTCCTTGAAGTATCAATCTGAACTCTCAGCTACCTTTTGTATTAAAGAAAAAAAATTGTATTAAAGAAAATTGTCTGAACACAGACTTTCTTCAACAGTGTTCTTTATCTACATTCACTGCAATCTTGTCTTATCTCAATTTGACAGGACACACATCTGGGTCCTGGTGTGGTGCTTATTCGCCAATAGAGGTTAAGAAGAGAATTGGTTTATGGTTGGCACTGACATTGGATCTATCTTGAGGGCTCAACATAACAATTAAAGTTAATGTTCTCTGATTATTCTTTTGTCTCCTCCTAGTTAACCAAATTTAAAGAAAATTAGTTTCTCAAGCGTGATGCAACAAACATTATGGAAACTATGAAAAATCCAGTTATCTAATTTTCTTGAATTTGTCCCTAGTGTGAGAAGGTGGTTCTCACCCATGTTATGTGTGTTTAGTGAGAGAGTGAGTGAGGAGCAAATGAATGTGTGTGGGGTGGGGGGCTTCTTGTCATTGTCCGTCACTCCCCTGTCCCCTCCACCCCTTCCTTTTCCTTCCAAGGCTGGCTTTGCTGCTCCCTGCAACATGGGAACTGAGTGACAATGACATGGAGGTGGAGAGCAACAAAAAGCAACTGAGGCTTCAATCTGCCTATGACAAAAGGGCTCATCGTAATGCACTGGAAATGTAGGAACCACATCAAAGATAGTTTTCACGATTTGTGGGTCTTGGTCCTGTAACTCCAAGGACAGCAGGTACTATGGGCTGAAACCCTAGAGAAAGCCCCAGAGTATATCCAGTATCTACAAAGGCAAAACCACACACACCAGGAAGATACTGATGACTTCAAGTGGCAGAATGCTCTCTGGAGCCAGCAAGTCCATGCATTGGAAAAGGTGAGGTCGAGCATCCAAATTCAGACCAACTTCCCCTGCCCAGACAACCACTTGTACATCAAGGCTAAGGACAGCACTACCTCTGTTTTTGATGGAGGCTCAGACACCAGCTCCATGTCAGAGCCCAAATCAGGAAGAAGCCCCAGAGGGAAGCCAGCTCAGTTCTGTGGGATAGGCCAGCAATACAAACTGTCTGTCTCCTCCTGCATCTCACCCTCTTTTCTTTCAGTTTATGCTTAGAGTCCTCAGAACTGTTTTTAGAGACTTGTTTTTTCCTCTTACTCCCTTCTTATTTTTAATTTCATTTTTATGCAGAAGCTCTTAGGTGACAGCTGTCTTCTCCTTCCCTAATTCCACCTTACTTATTTGTTTTTTATCATTTCCCTTCAGGGATTCTCTGTCCACACTAGGAATTTTAAACCCAAATAACCCAACTTGGCAGTTTTTTTCTGTGGAGAACAGATGGCCAGCTGGACCTCTGAGCACATAGTGCCATGACTATGGACACCAGCTCCTCTACTTCTCCAGGGCATCGGCCTAGGGAACTCCTGCCCCTCTGTCTTTCCTCCCAGGCCATTCCCATTTGATAGACTTTGTGAATCTGTGGACTGTTCCACTTTAAAAAGATGACAAATTTGAGGAGCCTGGGTGGCGCAGTCGGTTAAGAGTCTGACTTCAGCTCAAGTCATGATCTCACACTTTGTGAATTGGAGCCCCATGTCGGGTTCTGTGCTGACAGCTCAGAGCCTGGAGCCTGTTTCAGATTCTCTCTCTGCCCCCACCCCCCAAATAAATAAACATTAAAAAAAAGATGATGATCAGTTTCGAGTGGTCAGCCTCAATCCCCCTTCTTTTAATGATTATTCTTTCTAAAAAGCTATTTATCACTGGTATTGAAAGACCAGACCCTTGAAGAAGTTTGCAGTTCATGAACAAGTGGGTAAAGATTTGCAGCACAGAGACTTCGGCCTGTCTCACTCCTGCTTCTCTCAGCCAGCCTTCAGGATGGCCACATGTCACATGTAGTATATGTGGGGGTCAGCGGGTACTGGTGAAGTGGTAGCCACCTGGGGTATTAAAGGGTAGGACAAGGAGGGAAGATCGGGTTAGGTAGAAGTTTTGTACTGAGAGTCACTGATGATGATTTGGTATTTATTTCCTGCTACCGAAATTTGAATCTGAGTGAACTGTCCCTATTTCTGATAATGTTGGTATTATAAAGGGACAGATTCATAAAGTAATGATCAAATCCTAAAAAAACTAATTTGTCACTAAGCATTGGTTCCTTGGATAAGATTCAGTACTGGAAAGCCCCTCTTTTTCAAAAGTTGTTTCCTTGCCACACAAAAGTGATTGCATGACTGATCTAAACTTTGAAGAGGTCTGTTCTTCTATTTAGAGGTGAATGGATAGTTTGAATCCTTAGCAGCTCACTCATCAGCAGTTTCTTCATTTTCTCTACGGATAGAATACAAATCTTTTCATTGGCCAGTTTTCTGTTGATGTCCCACATAGTTCTTCTTCAATTTGTATCATCCTTAGGGTTTTCTAAATCTTAGGAATGGCTGAATGGAATGCTTGTGGGATTGGATGCACTAAATTTACCACCAGCATTAAGGCTGAGATGCTTATGTTTAGCATATATGTCTTGGCCTATTTTTGTAGGTTTTACTTCTGAAAGTTCAACTTTCAGATACTTCACACTGTTATTTTGGTCTGCTAGTTTACATGGTACTGCTGATATTCTCCCTATTCACTGCTGGTGGTAAGGATGGAGAAAAGTTATCGCCAGTTATGGCCACTTGGTGCATCTTGGTGGAGGGTGGTAGTCTCTGGTTTTCATGGAGGAAGAAACCTCCCTGGCAGGAAGCTTGTTATGGCAGGACCAGCCTTGTCTTTTGGAAATGGAGACTGGTCCCCTGACTACTTGTTGCCTTGTGATATGATCCTCCTCCAGGTCCCCCCGCCCCACACAACTCCTTCCCTGTTGGATTCTCTGGTGTCTAGCCCACATAAAGAAGTCTCAGGTCCAGGATCAGTAAGGAAAGAATGTCATCAATGGTGAAACTCCAGCTCAATCTCCTTTGCTGGTCCTACCAAGTTTAATCTGGTGTTTAAGGCACAGCTCCCATTCAGTCCAGGGGAGGAATGGGCACACTAGGGATGCTTTCTGTTCCTGGTTTGAGTGTTGTGAAATGCCTGGTCTTCTCTTGATTGGAGTATGTAAGACAGGTTGGTGCTCTGTTCCTCTAATCCTGGGATCCCAAACCAGTTTGCTTTCTTGCTAGCAACTTCCAGAGATCTCCATTTGTTGTCTCTCTCACCATTTCTTGGGTTTTTGGTTATATTTAGCAGTGAAGATAAGGGAGTAATGGGTCTCTGTCATACTGTCCTGCAGCTGAGGTTTCAATAAATGTTAAACCAAACATTGAGTTTCAAGGTTTCTTTCTACAAATGTTCCTGAGATTCCTCCCTTGAAATATAATTGCATGGAGCATTAAAAATAAACTTCCAAAGATATTGGGTATTATAGTATTATTCACATTCCTTGCCTATAAAAGACTGCATTCTAGGAAAGTCTAGAAAATTCAAGGTTATAGCCTGGTGAAGGTAAACAGAGATAAGTGTGGGACAGCCTCACTGATTACTGTCAAGAAAATGGCTACTGGGTTTCTTAACTCCCATAAATTATTCTGTTTATCCTGAACCCTTGAAACAGTTTCCTGATCAGGTGAGTAGTATTTGCCTGAATATTTACAACACTGTAGAAAAGACAGATAGAGCCTATTTATATTGTTAATCATACTTAGGTGATCTTTTAACTTTTATCTTTGAATCCTTTAAAAATTATAAATTATTTAAATTTTTTAAAAATTTTATTCATTTTGAGAGAGAGAGAGAGAGAGAGAGCGCGAGCAATTAGGGGAGGGGCAGAGAGAGAGAGAGGGAGACACAGAATCTGAAGCAGTTTCCAGGCTCTGAACTGTCAGCACAGAGCCCAACGCAGGGCTCCAACCCACAAACCGTGAGATCATGACCTGAGCCCAAGGTGATGCTTAGCCAACTGAGCCACCCAGGTGCCCCATAAATTATTTCTTAATATTTAACTCAAGTTCTCAGTCTCTTAATGAGAGAATCACTCTCGTATCCAGACTTTCTTCAAAGAGAATACTCAATTAATTACTAAGGTAGGTAGTCAATTAATCACCAAAAGTGTTAATTTTATCAGGAGCCCTGTTCACAGAGCTCAAAGGAAATTATTCAGTATAAAGTGGGTGAAAGGTATACTTTGTTTCAAAATGTTTATTTTTGAGGCAGCCAAAAACATTTTACTATTTTGCAAACAAGACAGCGTTTTTGGTTTGTTTGTTTGTTTGTTTTTTCATAGTCAGCTTTACATCCTGTCATTTTTATCTACATCAAGCTGAAGGTGCTGGTATTGTTTTACATAACATGCCAGAAAGTTTAAGATAAATGCGACAGAGATGCAGAGGAGGCTGACATAGTTTCCAAAAGAAGAAATTCTAAAGAGACTGGCTTCCGTGTGGAGGTACTGAAATAACAAAAGATACTAGGTGTCATAATAGAAAATACTGCAAATGTGTCAAGAAAATTTTAGTACTTTTTTACATCTGAAACTAGATTATTATAAAACTGAATTTGGAAACACCAATATTAAAAAAAGAATTTTTAAAGTAGCCCTGTAAAATTGTCTAAATCAATTTTGGCAAATTTCAAATTATTCTCTTCATAATTAACTAACTCAATGCCTACATAATCTATATTTTCCTTTAAGTTCCCTATTTCTAGACAGCTTCATGAATTCATATTTAATGACCATCTACTGTGTACTAGAGATTGAACTGACCACTTTATTTCTCCTCCTCCTTTATTATTATCATTCACATTTTGCGGATGTTAACAATGAATGTTGGAAGTTAAATAATTACTCTTTGACCTCACAACTCAAAGTAGAGAATTTAAGATGAATATCTAATTTTGTCTATATCCAAGACAATCCTTTTCCTATTAAACCATTCTACTTTCCACTGTATTTGATCCCCAAATTACATCATTTACTTTCTTGGTCCTCAAAATTATTTTTTTGTCTCTATTAACTATTAAATAATAAATAATTAATTATGTGTCAAATTTCCCTTTTTATAAGGATTATGTATTAATGATAGAGTATAAGACTAGTACATAGTTGTTTTCTATTTAATTGTTCATTTAACAAACATTTATTAAATACTTTTTACTTTGTTAATGTTTATTTTGTGACATAAACATTTTGAGACACGTATGTGT